TTTCATATATTTTTATGTTACAATAAAACAAGAATGATATTTACATTTTAAGTTAGCTCTCCATCTAACCATCCTTGATTAGTCATATTATTTTAATCACATATGAGAAATAACTAAATTAATTGAATAACTATCCCCATCTTCATTGTCTGCCTTATGAAAAACTTATTAGCTTTTTAAAATCAGAACACGACTGTCAGTAAATTATACAGTAATACAAAGTTAAATATTATACATCTTTTTGGGGAGCAAACCAGGAAGAATTTCAGCATTTAGTGAAATGGTTTAATCAGATGTCTTTTTCTGTGAATACATTTTTTTCAATAATAATTTGATTTTGAGAATAGTAAAAAGTACTTTCAAATATCCTATTCCTTCATCCCAAAACTATCAGTGCTAAACATGAGTGCATTGTCAAATTTACACATTTCTTGAACAGGCATCATTTATTCAATACATGTTGGTTAAACACCTTTTTTGTATGTGTTTAAGTATTTTCTTTGTGCCAGCCACTGTTCTAAATGTTGGAGGAACAGGAATGAAAAAAAAAAAAAGAAACAAAACAGATCCCAGATTTTGTGAAGCTGGCATACCAGGAGTATGCCAAATAATAAACAAAATGAAAAGGAAAAATAAACAGTATGTTAGATGGTATTAAGTAGTAGTAAAGAAATAGAACAGGAAAGGGTAATAGAGAATACTGGCAGATTTTACAATTTAAAAACAAGTAGCTAGCAAAAGCCCCCAAAGAAAAAGTGACAATTAAGTAGACCTAAAGAAGACACTGACTAATTTTAGGTAGGAAATGCTATTATCTGACATGATATAACAGGCTAGTCCTGGTTGCTATGTAAGGAATATACTGAAGGTGCTAAGAACAGAAGTAGAGGAAAGATTTAAGAGTGCTAGCAGTAGATGTGGTGAAAATTTGTCAGTTTGGATATATTTGAAAGTATCACTGAGAAGATGGATTGTATGTGGAGTGTGAGATTAAGATATGAGTTATGATGGCTCTAAGTGTTCGGCTTGAGGTATCTGAAGGATGTAGTTGCCGCTTATTGACTTGGGAAACTCTGTCATAAAATCTGGGGGTGAGACCAAGTGCTCAGTTTTGGATGTACTAAGTTTGAGATGCCCAATAAACATCCATATAGATGGACGGGTAGTACATAAATAGATACATAGATAGATGCATAGGTAAATACATACACAGATCCATACATAGATGTATACATACATATATAAATCAATTTTCAATTCAGGAAAAAAGGAGAAGCTAAAAGTCACCAATAGATAATATTCAAAGCTATGGGACACAATGAGTAAAGATGGGGAGAAGTTCTGATGACTGAGTTAATGACAATCCATGCCTACTTAAATCAGATGATGAAGCAGCACCAAGAGGAAAGGGAGAAGCAATGGAGTGAGTTTTTACGATATGTGTCTATTATCCTGAAACACACGTCGCGGAAGTTTTTTAAGAAGGAGGACGTGCTTATCCAGCAAATGTTGCTGTACACTAAAATAAAGTGTGAGAATTGACCTTTGGATTTAGCGAGGAATTTACCACTGCCTCACTGGTGATCTTGGCAAGTTCAAACTCTGACAAGTTAGGGAGGTAAATGCTTGAATGGAGTAGGTTTAGGATGGAATGAGAAGAGAGAAATGTGGATAGACAATATGAACAGGACGAAAGTAATCAGAGAAATGGGGCAGAAGCTGGAGAAGATAGTGAAGGCAAGAGGTTTTGGTTTGTTTATTTAGGGTGTGTGTGTGTGTGTGTGTGTGTGTATGACGTTAAGTAAAAGAACATGATTCAGTATATCTTCTTTAACCCCAGGAATTCTCTCAATGCTTTGTTTCATGAATGTCTTTAGTAGATACCTTATCCATTTTGAAATTTAAATTATAGTATCTAGATATAAACTAAATTTCTACTAGAGGTCAGCATGTATTACTAAAATACATACATTCCGGGGAATGTATTCCGGCCACATAAATGAGGGGTACTACCTTGTTCAATTCTTGGTAGTCTTTGGTCATCCACCATGAATCATGTGGCTTTTTTACTGGCCACATCAGGCCATGGAAAACACTGTAGGTGAGGCATGAAATATCCACTTGTTACAATTTTTGGATAGTTTCTCCTATTTCCTTATGCTCTCCAGTCAATTCATATCGTTTGAAAGTTACCACTCTTCAGGGCGCCTGGGTGGCTCAGTCGTTAAGTGTCTGCCTTCAGCTTGGGTCATGATCCCAGGGTCCTGGGATCGAGCCCCGCATCGGGGTCCCTGCTCAGCGAGAAGCCTGCTTCTCCCTCCCCCACTCCCTCTGCTTGTGTTCCCTCTCTCGCTGTGTCTCCCTCTGTCAAATAAATAAATAAAATCTTAAAAAAAAAATCATACATATTAAAAATAAAATAAAATACATACATTCCACTCAAGGCATTTGAATATTTGAATATGTATATCTAACCTAAGCATTATAACAATTCACATCAATGGACAATCATCAAGAAGTCAAATTTAAACTCTGCGCCAGTATCACAAAGCTCATCACTTATTTTTTTCTTGAATATTTATGCACATTCACTTTATCTCTCCAAATGATTATTAAAACTAAGAAAAATATAGCTTATCCCTATTGTGTTCAAGGCACCATGCTAAGCATGTTACATATATTATCCCTACTTTTCAGTCTAAGCTTACAAAATAGATTTTATTAACCTATTTTCTAAATAAGGTGGTGTTGATCAGCAATCCAGCAACTTGCCTGAGCCTTGATAAATATGATTGATGCAGCAGGGATTCAGTCCAGATATACTTAGTTCCAAAGTACACGACCTTTAACTTTTACTACTTTGTAACACAGTACTTACTGAAAGACAGGGATTCAGTCATAAGCAACACTTACTTAGTATACTGAGTAAAGCTAAGAACAACGAAAGGCACTGAACATGACCTTACTGCTAATATAGCTGTTACTTTGTCTAAGAAAAACAGTATCTTGAACAACAAACAAAATCAATCTTTCTCATGTTTACAGATTTGAACTTTTAAGAGTCACGAAGCAAAAAAATGTACATGAATCCATATCTTTTTTTCTTTTAAATGTCTTTCATTATCGAGACAATTTATCAAATTACAAAATGAAAACGAGACAAAACAAAATCCAGTTCTCCTGACAAGTCAAACACTTCTATGTTGTAAGTTGCACATCATACAGCGTCATTGCGCAATAAAGGCTGGTGTGGAATCCAAAAGTAATCTCCTCGTTGGCTTGCTGAGTTTCCCCAAAGGTTTGCCACTGGAGATGCGATTACCAGGACTATTCAAATGCAAGCAAAATTTCTGAACCGAAATTCTTAAGCCAAATCCTTATCTCTAAAGAATGCTGGCTTTCTGCATGCTTAATTTTTTGTGTGTGCAATTTAAGTAATAACTGAAAATGTAGGCCTCCATGTTTTACCTTTAAATGCAATCTCAATATCAAAATTTGAATGTATGGGAAAAATAATTCGCAGCCCATTAGCAGGTTCTCATTACTCTAAGGTGGATTTTGCATCAAGGTTTAGACACATTATCAGAAAGGACACAAAACCCAGTCTCATTTTAGAATCTTGGTTTTTGGGAATCCTTGACCAATTTAATATTCGTCCCATTCATTACCTTATTTCTTTTCATTTAGTTGTAATTTTCTTATAAGTTTTAAATTTTCAAAAGTGACATTATGCAAACATCAGCAACTTCTGGATATTTTTTGTTTTATCTTATTCCTGTATGATATAAAAAAAATCTAAAAACTTTATTGGGATACTAAAATAGAAGGAAATTATAACATGCATGAAATTCATAAGTTAAAATTCTCTTATTAGTAATACATATTCATCATTTATATATGATTCTTGTATAGAAAAAGAATGTGACTTGGAATTGCATAGACATAGTTTTGAATCTCTTGCATTCCACTTACGACCTGTATGAACTTGTAAAAGTTCTTTGTCTTTTATTTCCATCTGTAAATAAAAGTTAGTGTCACCCAGCTAATAGGTTGGTCATAGTGTTATAATTACTAAGTAAGAAAGTACATATGATCTTCTGCAATTAAAAGCAGTAAACACTTTTCTCTTTCCCTGTTATCTAAAATCATATGTATATTTAAATGAAATCAGTGATTGAATTTTAGAACAATAGCAAAAAACTTATTTAACGTGTCTTTATAGCAAAATAAATGAAGATATCTTATTTTTAAAAATATCAATCTTTCACAATAAATTCAATTACTAGTGACTTTTCAAACTTATGAAAAACTGAAAATGTTTTAAATATTAAATACACATATGCATATCCATGATGTACGCATATATTTATGTGTCAATTTTCTAACCTAGGAAGTATGTATTTTATCTTTCCTGAGTGAAACATCTGTGATATGAATATAAAAGTGTAACATATTCAGCAAGACTGATTTTTAGGAATTTAAACGTGGTAATTTTGAAATAAGTAAACTTTTCATAAAAAGTGAGATGTTTATTTTTCAAGACAATTAACTCTAAATAATTTTTAAATGACTAGACTTTATCATATATGCTAAACATAATTTTTTAGTAAATGTAGCACCTTTTGCTTGCTATTTTCTATGAACACTAATAAAACCCTATGATAATTTGAATATGTAATGAAGTACATGGAGAGAAAAACCTAGAGAAACTTTGTTACCTAGGCTGAGAAGTTGAGCACTGGACATTTTACCTCTGGACAATGGTCAACGTTAACAAGAAAAACCAGAACCTAATAATTATTAGCTACCATTTAAACTGACTATGAAAGACATAATAAATATCTTCCACTGAAACAATATATGAAGTATCTATCCTACTATTCATAAAACTAACATTAAAAGCCAAGAATATATTTTGATACAACCTTGTAAGCATTAAATCAAGTGAACAATAATCTTTGGGGCAGGTAAGAGAAATTTAATGAATGAATATAACTTACCTTATCCACAATACATATCTGCTTTCTTGTTTGAGCATCAAGTATTTCAATCTCAAAGTGCGCAGTTTTTGCATGTTTAACTACTGGAGCTGATTTTAGAGGGCCTGCTGAGAGCACAAGTTGCGACAAACAGTGAAAGTTTCTCAAGTCATTCTTCAGCATGGACCGTGTAACTCCTCGGGAAAATATTTCTCTCTTGCGTTCCGAAGCAAGGGACTTGTGCCTTTTGAACATTGTGTGAACTAGCAGGAGAATCTGTCATGACAACAGAAGACACTTGCAAGTATGTTGCCTTGCACCAGTTTAAATACTGCTGGTGAACCCGGGAAAGGTCAAGTGCCATGCCTTTCCAAGAGTTCAGTTTTATTTAGCAGGCTTGAAAACAATGACTGATCTATTTCTATATATAACAAGCTATTGTAAATTGCGGCAGTGTAGAGGATTACTTTACCAGCATTCCAATTATTTCTTGCTTTCCCCTTTTATCTCTGCTTTTTAATAGGGTCACTAATATCTGAAATTCCAAAAGAGTAGAAAGAGATTTTATTATCTTTGAATTCTGTACGCACTAATCTTCAAGGACATATGTTATTATTCACACATTCACATTTAGATGTATTTAAAATTAGCATAGAGCTATCTTATAGATAAATTTAAAAACACCTAGTGCATTATTACATAACAAAATTTTTTATAAATCCTGCCTAAGATAAAGATTTGTGGCATGTTTTAAATACATATAAATAAATGTAAATATATAAACAAATATATGGTTAATATATAAATATAAAACATGCTACATATAATATAATGTAATATAAATAATATATATTATATATACAAATGTGTATATGTATGATACAAACGGATGAATTCTTCACTTTGTACAGGGAATAGAAAGATGGCAAGTCATCCATGAGATTGGAATATGTACAAAGCCGTTTTATAACTTGAGGAAAAAGAAGTAAATTTCATTTTAACATTTCTACACATTACATTTATTGGAAAATATTTGAATTTATGTACGAAATTAGAACTAACCACCACATTTACCACAACATTAAACTATGGCAAATTGAAATAATCACAAAATTAACAATGAAAAATGTTAAACAACCTGTACAAAAGACTCCAAGTACTCAGATACGGGTATATCTGGTAAAGAAACAACTGAGAGATTCCTGGGTGGCTCAATCAGTTAAGTGTCGACCTTCAGCTCAGGTCATGATCCCAGGGCCCTGGGATGGAGTCCCACATTGGGCTCTTTGCTCAGCAGGTAGCCTGCTTCTCCCTTGGCCTGCTGCTCCCCCTGCTTGTGCTGTCTCTCTCTCTCTCTCTCTCTCTCTTTGTCAAATAGATAAATAAAATCTTAAAAAGAAAAAAAGAAACAACTGAAAACTATCCAAAACATATTGTCACTGATTTAAAGGGATATTACAGGAAAGTATTCTGAGATATCATTTTTAATGATGACATGAAAAGCAAAATGGTTAAAATTATAGAGGGTTGTGGGGCGCCTGGGTGGCTCAGTCCATTAAGCAACTGAGTTGAGCTCAGCTCAGGTCTTGGTCTCAGGGTGGTGAGTTCAAACCCCATATTGTGGAGCCCACTTAAAATAATAATAATAATAATTATAGAGGGGTGAATCCTTATATCTATATGAGGTTAAAATTTACTTTTATAATTAAAAAAGTAATGTAGTGATTTTTAATTTTGATCAAACATCATTCAATAGAGATCCATTTACACATGTTCAGTTATCATTTCATCCTCTAGACAACCATTATACTCAATATTTAATATTTTGAAAACATAGAAGACAGGAATATATGTGTCTATGTCTGTGTACATTTGTGTGTGCATGTATTTACACACACACACACACACACGTGTTGTGAAATTTCATCACCCCAGTTGTTAAGGACTCCAAACTCACAAAATGAATCATCCTTAACATCTCCCTTTCTCCGACACCTCAGTTCTAATCCATCAGAAATCCAGAACACAGTCTTCTCACCACCCCATGCTACCTTCAAAACATCAATCACATCTGTATTGCTTTTCCAAACTAGTCCCCTGTGTCAATACTGGTCAATCTAGTATCATTTTAATACAGCAGCTAGAGTGATCATGCTATGATCCCTCTGCATATGGTCTATGCTAAAGCAGATAATGCAATAATCTGCTCAGCACACGGCAGAGGCTTCCTATTTTATGGAACGAAAAAGCTAAAGTTCTCTGCAAAGGTCTATAGGGTCTGCATCATCAGCACTTTGTTATATCACTGATCTCATCCCTTAAACTATCTACAGTGCCTACAACAGTGTCTGGTACACAGTAGGTGCCCCCAAAACATATATATTAAAGAAAGAAATAAACAATCAGTAAATGTATCTTGGAGGTATAGGCAGAATGGTGTGATGTTAATAGAATGCTCAGGTAAACTATTGTCTTATATTAAAATGACATAAACACAACCTGTATGTCTCTTCAAATATAGTTTCTATTTAAAAAAAAATAGTCTAAAGGACATAGGAGCCAAATTGAATGTAGCTCCCATTGACAAAGCTGGAATAATTCCAGTAAGAAAATAAATACTGATGATAATAGAATCTAACTCAAAAATATTATAAACATCCATGAGTCCATACTTTTATCAATAAATGATTAAATAATAAATAAATAAATAGGCATAAGGGATGATTTTCCTTACGCAAGAATTCCAAATAGTATATATGGTTACTCTGATTCTGAGTGTGGATTTCACTTAGTGACACACTTGCAAAAAATAATTAAGGGAAAATGGAAACTCTATAGAGGAAAAACAAGCAGCAGACAGCATTTTAAGAGAGGCCAAGTTGAATATCACCATGAAAAGTCATGTTGATATCATGTACTCACAGATACCATGAGATGAAGATGCTTCACTCCTGGAGTATTCTACCAAAAGTTCATTTCCTCAGTCTAACCATGAGAAAACATCAGACAAACACAAACTGAGACACAGTACTTAATACTCTTCAAAACTGTCAAACATTTGAAAAATAAGGAAAAATTGAGAGACTGTAACAGATCAAAAGAGAATTTATGGTAACATGACTAAAAAATGCAATGGCATCCAAATTGTTTCCTGGAACAGAAAAAGAAATTAGTGGAAAAAACGGTGAAAAGATAATAATGTGTGTAATTTAATTAATAGTGTTGTGCCAATGACAATTTCTGAATTTTGATAAATATACCATGGTTATACAAGATGTTAAAATTAGGGGAAGCTGGGTAAAAAGTACACAAAAAACCCTCTGTACCTCCTTTTCAATGTTTTTGTAGAACTATTCCAAAATGCAAAGCATAAAATAAACACACACCTGCACCAACATATAAAATAAGGAATGGAGAAAGAGAAAAAAATGGAAATTAAAAACATTTTAAAAAGCAAACTTTCAGGTTTTCATCTGTGTCAATCACACAACTTAAAAATTTGGGTAAAGAATAAAAATAAAGTCCTTAAAAAAATAAAATAGAAAAAGTTTACAAAAAGATGCAGTGTCAAAAAAGTGTCTTTATTCTAATTGCATTTATTTATAATAAAGTATGAAGGATGGGAGTTAAGATATTATTGTTCTTTTTTTTAAAAGATTTTATTTATTTATTTGACAGAGAGAGACACAGCGAGAGAGGGAACATAAGCAGGGGGAGTGGGAGAGGGAGAAGCAGGCTTCCCGCTAAGGGGAGAGCCCGATGTGGGACTCGATCCCAGGACTCTGGGATCATGACCTGAGCCTAAGGCAGACGCTTAACGACTGAGCCACCCAGGTGCCCCTATTGTTCTTTTTTAAATATTTTTTTTATTTATTGATTTGAGAGAGATAGAGCACAAAAGTAGGGGGGAGGGTTAGAGGAAGAGGGAGAAACAGATTCCCAGCTAAGCAGGGAGCCAATGCAGGGCTCAATCCCAGGACCCTGGGATCATGACTTGAGCTGCATGCAGACATTTAACCAAGTGAGCCACCCAGGTGCCCCAAGATACTATTTTTCTTTTATTTATTTATTTATTTATTTATTTATTTATTTATTTATTTATTTATTTTAAGATTTTATTTATTTATTTGAGAGAGAGAGAATGAGAGAGAGCACATGAGAGGGGGGAGGGTCAGAGGGAGAAGCAGACTCCCTGCCGAGCAGGGAGCCCGATGCAGGACTCGATCCCGGGACTCCAGGATCATGACCTGAGCCGAAGGCAGTCGCTTAACCAACTGAGTCACCCAGGCACCCAAGATACTATTTTTCTTTACCCTCATATTTTTCATTTATTTTTGACAGAAAGCTATCCACTTCAGTTCATTTTCTATTTGAAGTACCATTTCTTCTTAGATTATTTTAAATAATTAATAGATTTATAATATTTTTTAAAGCTGTTCTAGTTTACAGAACAAAAATACATAATTGAATGCAGTGTTTCCACATATTCTCTCCATCCCCCATGACATAAATCTTTAATTAGTAACATCTTGCATTAGTGTGGAATTTTTGTTAAAACAACTAATATTGGCAGATATTTATTAATTAAAGTCCATAGTTTGTTTTAGAATTTAGTCTTTGTGTTTTACAGTTCTTTGAGTTTTGACAGATGTAAAAAACCATGTATCCACCTTGATAGTGTCACACAGAATAGTTTCACTGACCTGAAAATGTCCTCTGCTCCAACTTCCCCACTGTTCCCCCCACTCCAAACCCCTGGCAATGACTCATCTTTCTGCTGTCTTCTTTCTCCACCATATCATTAGTTGAAATCATATAGTAGGTAGTATTTTCAGCGTGGCTTCTTTCTTTTAGCGGTATGCTTTTAAGTTTCCTCCGTGCTTTTTCATAGCTTGAGATCTCTCTCTCTCTCTCGTGTGTGTGTGTGTGTGTGTGTGTGTGTGAATAATACCTTTAGTGTAAGGATATATCATAATTAATGTATTCATTTATTTATTGAAGGATATCTTGGTTGCTGCTGTAAACATTCATGTTCAGGTTTTTGTGTGAATATAATTTTCAAATTATTGGGGTAGATAAGTAGGAGTGTGGTTGCTGGATTGAATGGTAGACCTATATTTAGCTTTGTAAGAAACTATCAGGCTGCCTTCCAAAGTGGCTGTACCATTTGCCTCCCCACCAGCAATAAATGGGAGTTCCTCTTATTCCACATCCTTATCAGAATTTGGTGTTGTCAGTGGATTTGGGCCATTTTAATTGATGTGGCATGGTATCTCATTGTTTTAATGGGCAATTTTCTAATGACAAAT